CACACAGGGCAGGAGAATGCATAGCAGGTTGTGGGTCTGCAGATCCACCGACCATCCCGTCAGATCTTGTGGTTTCCTTGCACGTGTGCCAAAAATCATCTTCCCCTAGCCTTTGCGAGCAGAGGAAACAAAATTTGTTGAATTATTTTTGTAACGCGGGCTTTTCTCCATCGGTGTTCAGGTGAGATATATCTCACCTGCCTCGCACGTCTCGCCCCCCCCCCCCCCCCCCCCCCCCCCCCCCCCCCCCCCCCCCCCCCCCCCCCCCCCCCCCCCCCCCCCCCNTCTTCTGAGCGGGCAAAGGCACAACAGCACCGTGCACCAGCGGCCGTGTTCCTTCGGGGGTGGTCCTTCACGTAGCCATGTGGCTCTCACCTGCGAACAGCAACCCCTTCCTCCCCTTCATAACGCGGCAGAACTTGGCTTCGTCCACCTCCTCCAGACGGCACGCCGAAGGCTCCCACTTCCAGTACGGCATGGGGGGGACGGGCTCTTCGCCCTCATGCTCTGCTGCCCATCTTTTGCCACACCTGTTGCGAGCGCGCGGTGTTTCAGACACAACAGTGGACGTCACAATAAACACATGCACCTCCCGTGTTGTGCGTACTTGTGTCGTACGACTGGGCTTGTCACTGCCGTAACGCACAATCTAGACGAAACACAGGCGACGGAGATATTTTTGAAAGAATTCCTCATCGACGGTTTCGAGCTGGCCGGTCCAGACTTATCGCGAAAATTGGACTTGGTTCGACGCACCGACGCCTTTTATCAACGATTTTTTTAATCAACAACAGAAAACACACAACGGTAGGGTCGACTGCGGCGGGTTGCAGCTTACGTCGGGCATATATACGTACGAGTTGAGCACACCGTTGTAGTAGCGGACGGTGGACGACTAAATAGAGACGTGCTCACGTGCGTGTACGATTCACCGCAGGGCTAACAGGAAAAAAAAAGCCCCCAAGGCTACCAAAACTCTAGTGGGGTGGCCTTACAGCCGTTGTTGCGCTCGGCGGCTATACCACAAGCAGCTGGTAAGCCCTACGGCCATCACGCACGGGATACGAAAGCCTTCATCTTACCCTTCCGCCGTTCGACCGGTAACAAATGGGCCACTGCCCGTGTTCGTCGGCGACCGTCCATGCCTCCCATGCACTCGTTCCATCTCCCTCGGGAAGGATCAGCGGCCGTGCTCGAGTAGCACGGCGGCAAGCCGAGGTCGGTTTCGACGCTTGCGCAGTCGACGACAAGGGCTGGATACCTCTCCTCCCCTACGACGACAAGCCGTGGTGGATCCTTTTCATCCCCTGTCCCCCCCCCCGGACGCGACCAACAAGAGGCCGGGGTGTGTCTGGTTGTCAATGGTGAGCGGGTTGGTTTGAACGCGCTCTTGCGGCTGCTGCGCAAAGAGCGTGTGTTGTCGTAGGAAAATAAATACACAGAAAGACTATGGAGTCTTTGCAGTGAGTGGAGGGAAACCGGCTGGGTACTGGCCTCATTTCGTATTTCGAGTCTGTTTCATGCCTGTACACTACGGATGATGTATACCAGTGATCACCAGTGATAACCAGCTGGTGCTAGACACCAAAACACTGCTGTGGTACGTAGTTTCTATGTGGATCCACTCGATCTTATGAAAAATAAAGACAAATGTAACTGCTATTGAACAGGCATTAGAGTACAGCAGTAGGAGATCATGACTACAGCAGCACTACTGGCCGTGGGCTGTCGACGACAGATGGTCATGGAAGCCGCTGTAGTTTGGAACGATCTCCTCGTAGAAAGTTGAGGAAAACGCCCGCTGGTTACTTGTTTGTTTCCAACCTGTTTCCATTTCCGTAATACAGCTGCGCGGACATGCACACCCTGCGACGACAACAACAACCATCCGCATAGCGTACAACGGTTTCGGTGGTTGTCTGGAAGGCTGGGAGGCAACACGCACACAAGCTGTAGTAACGATTTTCATGAAAAAGCTGAGCTGAACAAACGGTTGTCTCGAGATAACCACCGGACGACGAAAAAGTTCTTCAAACCACAGCAGTACTTGATGCTGCTGTGGATAAGGTGCTTGACACGGATGTGTGCGTGGTTGTGCAACTTATCTCCAGATCAGAACGAATCGGAACAACAGCAGTTGTTCTCCAGAACAGCAGCTCTTTTCTCACACTGACGTGTGAAACAGCTGAAACTGCTGCAGCTGCTGCTGCTGCTGTGCAACTACTGCTGTGGAGACGTAAATTGCGATTTCCATTTTGGGCGGACGCCCTAGGGGCTTCCTGGCAATAACGACGGTGCCTTCGAGTGGCAGACTTGTACAGCAGTAGCAAGGCAACGCTTTTCGGCTGCTGTGTGTTGCTCACAGCAGTTCCTGCCGTTCTTCTACTAAAAATACTGCGGGCGCCTTTCTCTCTCTCTCTACGGCTCCGTCTATTCATGGCACATGTCGGGGCAGGCTTCGCAACAGCCCTCCACAGGTAAACTTCTGACGCATTCCGTACATTGAACCTAATCGCGAGGCGTGGGCATCCTCGTGTTCTGCGGAAAAATTACAGCAGTAAAGCGAGCAAGCCCTAGAACTCTACCCTCTGCTCTGCCTCGAGCGGCCAGGCGGCGACTGAAATGCGTGCCACAACATTGCTTTCGAAGTAACTGGAAGTATTTATGAAAGCTGCGAAGCAGAACACCAGAGTAACGTGCGTATGTACAATTCTCTGCAAACATTTAGTGTAGTGCTTATCCTTACCTCCGGCCCACCGGCCCTTCAGCAGTGTGGAAATCCCGATCAATAGCACTCACACCACACCAGCAAGCCAGAGCAGTCTCCGGCATCCTAGCAGGCGCTCTCTCAACGCCGTTGACGCCCCCGTTGATGATGCGGCGAAGGATTGTTCCGCCTCGCTTCGATCCGGGTGCCCTTCTGCGGCGTGTCTCAGTTCAAGACGCCCCTGCCCTTCTTCAGCCATCTCCTCCTTCCTAGCAAGGGCAGGCGAGTGTAGAGGGGTGCACGGGGCGTGGGGAGAAGCATAATGCGCCGGTGGGGCGAAAGGCGGAGGGTTTCCCGACCGAGAGAGGAGCTTACTTGTACAGTATTGCGACAAGCAGCACACTGCTGTTGGACGCTCTATGTAGCAGAACTTGTAGTCTGGGTGTCCTTCTGAGGTTCGGCCTCTCACGACCGCGCGCCCTCATGCGTATCTGCCCAGCTCTGACAGCAGCCGCATTATATTGCAGCTGGGGCGGGGTGTCACAGGAGCAAAGACATGAGGTGATATAGTTGTTTCAGCAGCAGCGGCAGTCTTTGAAAGAATAGAACAAAAAACGACCACCAACCTGGCGGTGGGGCGTGAGGAGTGAGGAGAGGAGTGCGGAGACTTTACTGTCTGGGAATGGCAGTAGTAGAGCTTACCGCTGTCCTCATGTGGTGGTTTGATCGACCACAAGGGCAGGCGAAGCTCCTCTCGAGGAGTGTGAAGAAGAATTGCGGAGTCGTGGCTGGCTGGCTGAGCGCTGATGGATGAGGAGAGTGTCCTGGACACTCTAGGTTTCCGCGAGGCGGGGAGACGGTATACTTCCATCCATCTCGAAAAAGATCCAGAAAGTTGATGGAGAGAAGAAATATCTCGTATCTCGTACAGCAGTGGGGGTCCCGGTTTAGCGACCCCCCAATAAAACACCAAATTGGGCAATTGGGCACTTCGCGTTCTCTCTCAAAGGAACTTTTTTTCTGTCAAAATGCTCTCTCCCGCGAGGTTGACAGAAAAACACACACTCTTTTGCAACTTTTGCACGCAATAATTGAGTAACACACACACTGGGTGGGTTCAACAGAAAGCCTGTTACATCAGCTGTCGAATGGCGCTGGTTTCATGCCCATCGAACAGTCACAGCACGAAGTGAACGGCGCCAAAAGCAGGCACTTCATGGCAGCAATTTTCAAGCGGGCATACTTGTTGCGGTTCGGGAAAAACAATTAGGTTCTAGAACAGAACCCAACGCAAACTGCTCAACATGGCTCGTACAACGCCAAAAAAAAATTTGAATTTGAGCCGGCCATTGTGCACTTCTCCCTTCTTCCCCTCGCTCCTCGACAAGCTTTTGCTTAGACATGGGTTGTAGTGAAGGGGGGGGTCTTTCTGGCGAGCAGGGCTAGACTCACCCTCAAGGGATGACCGAAACCTTCTTGCTGCTGCGCATATCCGCCGCGAGGCATGCGCGTGGTGGTGTAGTTGGGTCGGCACTGATGG